CATCAGCAAAACCCAATCGGGTCGACTGCGGTCCGGACCCCCTTTTTTATTATCCAGTTGGCCAATACTGGCAAAGGGCAAAAGCAAGCTTGTTTGGCCTTGAGTGTCAAAACATTCCATAATGAAAGCTCTCCAACTTTACTGCCTACAATAGCATCACCAAAGGATGTTGTTCGTATGAGAGGTGACGGAAACTGCCGTTTTCATTAAGTTTTGCAGTTTTTGGAAGCCAAATTCTTCATGGTATTATATGAACTTCTGTTGTACAGTTTATGGTGTCCCACGCACATCTTTTGGATGATATATCTATCACTCCAATGGAAGAGTATATTAGCAGAAGTGAAATGGATCTTTATGGTACTTTTGGAACAGAGATTGAGATTATTTCCGCAGCTACAATACTGAAGGCATCAATCCATGTCTATAGCAGAGTAGGAATGATGAGTGGAGAACCAACATTCGGGTAGCTTGTGTATATTCTCCTCTGGGAAACAACAAACATTACGATTGATCCCTAAAGGCAACATTAGGATTGATCCCTGAAAGCAACATTAGAATTGATCCATGGCAGCAACAGTAGGATTGATCCATGGCAGCAACAGTAGGATTGATCCATGGCAGCAACAGTAGGATTGATCCCTGAAGGCAACATTAGGATTGATCCATGGCAGCAACAGTAGGATTGATCCATGGCAGCAACAGTAGGATTGAGCCATGGCAACAACAGTAGGATTGATCCAAGGTAGCAACATAAGGATTGATCCAAGGCAGCAACTGTAGGATTGATCCAAGGCAGCAACAGTAGGATTCATCAAAGGCAGCAACAGTAGGATTGATCCATGGAAGAAACGGTAGGATTGATGCCTGAAGCAACAGTAGGATTGATCCAAGGCAGGAACAGAAGGATTGATCCATGGCAGCAACAGTAGGATTGATCCATGGCAGCAACATTAGGATTGATCGAAGGCAGCAACAGTAGAATTGATCCCGGAAGGCAACATTAGGATTGATCCATGGCCGCAACGGTAGGATTGATTCATGACAGCAACAGTATGATTGATCCATGGCAGCCACAGTAGGATTGATGCATGGCAGCAACTGTCGGGTTGATCCATGGAAGCAACAGTAAGATTGATCCAAGGCAGCAACAGTAGGATTGATCCATGGCAGCAACTGAAGGATTGATCCATGGAAGACACGGTAGGATTGATCTAAGGCAGCAACAGAAGGATTGATCAATGGCAGCAACGGTAGTATTGATCCCTGAAGCAACAGGATTGATCCAAGGCAGCAACATAAGGATTGATCCATGGCAGCAACAGTAGGGTTGATCCAAGGCAGCAACAGAAGGATTGATCCATGGCAGCAACATTAGAATTGATCCATGGCAGCAACAGTAGGATTGATCCAAGGCAGCAACTGTAGGATTGATCCATGGCAGCAACAGTAGGATTGAGCCATGGCAACAACAGTAAAATTGATCCAAGGCAGCAACATAAGGATTGATCCAAGGCAGCAACAAAAGGATTGATCCAAGGCAGCAACGGTAGGATTCATCAAAGGCAGCAACAGTAGGATTGATCCATGGAAGAAACGGTAGGATTGATGCCTGAAGCAACAGTAGGATTGATCCAAGGCAGGAACAGAAGGATTGATCCATGGCAGCAACAGTAGGATTGATCCATGGCAGCAACAGTAGGTTTGATCGAAGGCAGCAACAGTAGAATTGATCCCGGAAGGCAACATTAGGATTGATCCATGGCCGCAACGGTAGGATTGATTCATGACAGCAACAGTAGGATTGATCCATGGCAGCAACAGTAGGATTGATGCATGGCAGCAACTGTCGGGTTGATCCATTGAAGCAACAGTAAGATTGATCCAAGGCAGCAACAGTAGGATTGATCCATGGCAGCAACTGTAGGATTGATCCAAGGCAGTAACTGTAGGATTGATCCATGGCAGCAATAGTAGGATTGATCCATGGCAGCAACAGAAGGATTGATCCATGGCAGCAACAGTAGGATTGATCAATGGCAGCAACAGTAGGATTGATCCATGCCACCAACAGTAGGATTGATCCATGGCAGCAACAGTAGGATTGATCCATGGCAGCAACAGAAGGATTGATCCATGGCAGCAACAGTTAGATTGATCCAAGGCAGCAACAGAAGGATTGATCCATGGCAGCAACATTAGGATTGATCGAAGGCAGCAACAGTAGAATTGATCCCGGAAGGCAACATTAGGATTGATCCATGGCCGCAACGGTAGGATTGATTCATGACAGCAACAGTATTATTGATCCCTGAAGGCAACATTAGGATTGATCCCGAAGGCAACATTAGGATTGATCGCTTGAGGCAACATAAGGATTGATCCATGGCAGCAACAGTAGGATTGATCCAAGGCAGCAACATAAGGATTGATCCAAGGCAGCAACTGTAGGATTGATCCAAGGCAGCAACAGTAGGATTCATCAAAGGCAGCAACAGTAGGATTGATCCATGGAGGAAACGGTAAGATTGATGCCTGAAGCAACAGTAGGATTGATCCAAGGCAGGAACAGAAGGATTGATCCATGGCAGCAACAGTAGGATTGATCCATGGCAGCACCATTAGGATTGATCGAAGGCAGCAACAGTAGAATTGATCCATGGCAGCAACATTAGGATTGATCCATGGCCGCAACGGTAGGATTGATTCATGACAGCAACAGTATGATTGATCCATGGCAGCAACATTAGGATTGATCCCGGAAGGCAACATTAGGATTGATCACTTGAGGCAACATAAGGATTGATCCATGGCAGCAGCAGTAGGATTGATCCAAGGCAGCATCCGTAAGACTGATCCATGGCAGCAACGGTAGGATCGATCCATGGCAGCAACACTAGGATTGATCCATGGCAGCAACGGTAGGATTGAACCCGGAAGGCAACATTAGGATTAATCCCTGAAGGCAACATTAGAACTAATCAATGGCAGCAATAGGAGGATTGATCCAAGGCAGCAACATTTGGATTGATCCCGGAAGGGAACATAAGGATTGATCCCTGAAGGCAACATTACGATTGATCCATGGCAGCAACAGTAGGATTGATCCATGGCAGAAACAGAAGGATTGATCCATGGCAGCAAGAGTAGGACTGATCCATGGCAGCAACAGTAGGATTGATCCATGGCAGCAACAGTAGGATTGATGCATTGCAGCAACTGTCGGGTTGATCCATGGAAGCAACAGTAAGATTGATCCATGGCAGCAACAGTAGGATTGATCCATGGCAGCAACTGTAGGATTGATCTAAGGCAGCAACAGAAGGATTGATCAATGGCAGCAACGGTAGTACTGATCCCTGAAGCAACAGGATTGATCCAAGGCACCAACATAAGGATTGATCCATGGCAGCAACAGTAGGGTTGATCCAAGGCAGCAACAGAAGGATTGATCCATGGCAGCAACATTAGAATTGATCCATGGCAGCAACAGTAGGATTGATCCAAGGCAGCAACAGTAGGATTGATCCATGGCAGCAACATTAGGATTGATCCATGGCAGTAATAGTAGGATTGATCCATGGCAGCAACAGAAGGATTGATTCAAGGCAGCAACAGAAGGATTGATCCATGGCAGCAACAGTAGGATTGATCTAAGGCAGCAACAGAAGGATTGATCCATGGCAGCAACGGTAGTATTGATCCCTGAAGCAACAGGATTGATCCAAGGCAGCAACAGTAGGATTGATCCCTGGCAGCAACGGTAGGGTTGATCCAAGGCAGCAACAGTAGGATTGATCCATGGCAGCAACATAAGGATTGATCTCTGAAGGCCACATTAGGATTGATTCATTGCAGCAACATTAGGATTGATCCATGGCAGCAACAGTAGGATTGAGCAATGGCAGCAACAGTAGGATTGATCCATGGCACCAACAGTAGGATTGATCCATGGCAGCAACGTGTAGGATTGATCCAAGGCAGCAACAGTAGGATTGATCCAAGGCAGCAACAGTAGGATTGATCCAAGGCAGCAACAGGAGGATTGATCCATGGCAGCAACAGTAGGATTGATCTAAGGCAGCAACAGAAGGATTGATCCATGGCAGCAACGGTAGTATTGATGCCTGAAGCAACAGGATTGATCCAAGGCAGCAACATAAGGATTGATCCCTGGCAGCAACGGTAGGGTTGATCCAAGGCAGCAACAGTAGGATTGATCCATGGCAGCAACATAAGGATTGATCCATGGTAGCAACAGTTGACAACAGAGAGAGAGAGAGAGAGAGAGAGAGAGAGAGAGAGAGAGAGAGAGAGAGATGCTGAAATGCCCTATTATTTAAAATAACTTGCTTTCAGTATCATTATTTTAATAACAGTCGTGCTTTACTGCCTCAATTATGAACTGCATAATATTACAAGCATGTCCACCTTTTCACATCACAACTACAAAGTTGACCCGTGGTGAAGATCCGGGGTCTTCAGCAACTCATGCTTTGCCGTAAAAGGCGACTGTACTTGTCGTAAGAGGCGACTCACGGGATCGGGTGGTCAGACTCGCTGACTTGGTTGATGCATGTAATCGTATCCCAAATGTCAATCATTGTATTGTCTGGTCCAGACTCGATTTTTTACAGACCACCGTCATAGAGCTGGAATATTGCTGAGTGCGGCGTTAAACAACAAACAAACAAAACATACAAAGTTGGCAAAACGTACAGCTTATGACCCCGACGTGATTTGAACACGCAACCTTCTGATCTGGAGTCAGACGCGCTACCGTTGCGCCACGAGGCCCTGCATTGGTACCAAGTCAAATTTAGGAACTGAATATTGCCAATATTCCACAGGGTCGCTTTTCGTTACAATTGAAATGTTTCAAAACATGTTACAATGAAATGTGCGGACTCTGTTGGTTATACTTTAATAGGTGAAAATGCGTACGAAACTAAATTCATGTGACATTCACAGCTCTGCTCATTTTTCTACGTATTTTCCTTGCATCGACATTAGAACTCGCTCTGGGGCATGAACATGTTGATTGGCTAGTGTCGAGAGTAACCATCCATACTCTCGGACGATTGTTGTAAGTCGTGAAACGCGTTTTGTCCATTTTCAACGGGCTGCGTGTTGTCTTGATCATGGAATCCTTATTAGAACAACAAAGACGTTATCACGAAGAAAGGGAAAGATTGATGGATGCGATGACGAAAGAGATGCTGCATCCAAAGAAAGTGGTAGGTCTTAAACAGGGACCCTTTGTAGCATATTTGACAATGAATCAAGGTTTCAAGCGGTAGAAGTTCGCCAAACTTGGAAGTTAACCAAACCGATTTGTCATTACCTTTATGCCTAATAAGAACACCACTTTAAAATCCTGAAAGTCTACTGACCTTCATGATACATGAGCATGAGACTAGCTGGATGGAGCAAATTTCGGAAAGACTTCCGCCCATATCCCTACTAAAGTTGTACAGGGGTATTATGTATGCATTGCAGCTGAATCCTTTTAGTTAAATATATTTTTAGGGGGATTCGGGCGAAAGTCTTACCCAAATTTCTATCCCTGTATGAACCCAATCGAATTAGTACCTCTACAAATGAGAAATTTCGTACGCCAAATCGAAAGTAATTTGTAACCCTATGCAATAAGCAATGAATAATGGCATTTAAAATATTAAGACCGTGATCTAAACAACATATAATGTAAATGCTTAGGTGCAACATTTTATTTGAACAAGAACAATAGCATTCAAAGACAAGGAACAACAGCATATGGGTTTTATCTGTTGACTGAAGCCATCTTTTAAGAAAATACTGTTTCACTTGACAATTACCTAAAGGGGCACTAATCTCTGGCTTCTTCTCGGCTGTCTGACACTGGCCTCTAGGGCTCACTAGCTACCATGAGTCGTTTTGCTCGCTAACGCAACTGAGTGTGACAAGAGACTGGGCTACTGTCTTGCAAGGACAGCTAAATAAACTTGGAGGCAATATTTGTTTTACACATTTTTTAACACTGATTGGTTACCTGTGATCAGAGACCATATAATAGAGGGACGGCCCTCTTGCCTATGCGCGAAACCATCAGTGCTACGGCTTGTACTGCGCAGCCTGTCCGGAAGCGAGCAGAAACGCGTTCACTGCAGTCATCGATGTTGCCTTTTTTTCCCATGCAAAAGATATATTTCACAATAAATATTTACACTCATGTATTTCTTAACATTGTTAACATTAGAACTGTTTGTTGGTGCCTTAAAGCATGTCGTTGTCACTGTATTTGATGACTGTGATCACGCTTTGTCTTTGTCCGAGAGATATTGGCTTGGTGCCATAACAAATTTAGGGCGGATGCAAAATTTCAGATTTTGACTCCAGAAATGGGACTAAATCTGAATTTTCCCGAAATAATTACACCACAACTCTTAATTTTCGCTTGCTTTCAGACGAATGTGTTCCTATTATCGGTCCTGAATTAAAAAGTTTTACATTCATCACAATTTCCCCTTTGGCTTGGTACCAAAGTTATTAAGGTACGATCGGTAGTTTTTTTGGTATGATTTTTGGTGCAAGGCCATATTTTACGTCACATATTTTAAGTTAAATTACCATATAGCAGACGACATAACATGCATTTTGTCTGTGTTTATCATCCCCATATTTCGTTTGAAACATTCTACAAAGTGACTTATATTGTATGATATAAGAATTGCTTTTGTAAGACTCGTATTTTTTTTACCATTGATTTTGCCATTTCTTCGTAAGTTTAACTTTGTTTCAGTTAGGCTTCTGTCACATATCACGTATATAGTACATACTACAATACTACATATTTGTTATCTTCTGTAGATTTTGTCTGTATTAATCATGACTACATTTAATCAATTACTTATTTTATGCCGTGTAAATATTGATTATGAGCTATATGATATGGGCCTAAACCCAATCATAAAAATGTAAATATGATAAAGGTACTAGTTACTTTGTGTATTTACACAACAATGAAAACATCATACAAAAATAAAAATCCGTTACATGAAATATTTGTATTATAAAATTATCATTTGCTTTGTAAATGCCAAGAAAGAAGAAGGATTATATTGGCAGTCGTCGGGAGAGAAGTTCGAGACAACAAGGTCAAAGGTGTCATTCAGTAAAATAAATAGATGGTCTACTGTCCTATTCTATGAAAAATACATTTACATATGTCGAGTTTGTGATGTTTTGTTTTGTTTTAATAGTAATAGTTGCATGCCTCGTTCAAGGTTAGAGTTTAAAGTTTGTTTTTCATTGATCAGATATAAATAGAAAACTATGATGAAACAACTTTGAAAACTACAAACGTTACTACAGTTTACGATTCATTAGTATATATCTGGTACCATGCTCGTTGAAGCTATATTATTATACCTGAAATACCTAATTATTTGTATGCTGAAATATCAAACTAATCGGGTAATATTAAATAACGATTGTAAAATTACAATCGTCCTCTTTGCTTTGGAATTTAACAGTAGCCTCCCTTTGAAAAAAACTTACCTCGCTCCGGCAAACCCAATTATCACTGCTAGCCCCAAACTGGCATTAACCAATAACGTTTGATTCCTTTGAAGCACATTGTCGGACACATCGAAAATTCATTTAACAACGCTAATAGTTTAATGCATAATTTTAATTCATTGGAACTATTAGCATTACAAAATAGTAGCGAATTTACATGAAATAAAAACATTAATATGGCGTCATTTCTTTCTGGCTAATAGTAAAGCATTTACACCAGTCAGTGATCATGCATTTTTGCAAGTAAATCTAGTCTGGACTTATTATAAGATATGAAGTTAATCTGGAGATATATTTTGTGAACATCAGGAATATGGTGATATGTTACAAGTGACATCCTTGCTTCTGGATGAGTTTTATTTACACTTCCTGAGTTCCTGTGCAATTTACCGGATCGTAGTTTTCTGTGGCGTTCGTCATGTTCGTAGTAGATTTGGTTTATTTGTTTATTTATAATAGTTAACAATTGCAGCATAACATGAGATATATTAACTGATTTTTAAAACAATACAAATAAATAATAAAAAAATAACAGATGATATATTGTGTACAGTACTGAGTGTAGCAAGTCACATGTGAAGAGTTGTGATATCATATACAGCAATTGCTTTCTTAGTTATATCAAATTATCAATCTACAAATAAGATAACAAATATAGGACATTACGTTTTGATTAGATCAACAACTGTGTTGATGGTAGATAAAAAGCAGAATCAGTAGAAGAATATAATATTTTGTAGAACAACAAAATAATTTATTACGAGTTAGTGAGTGAGTTTAACAGTGCAATAACACTGCATTGAACAGTATTCTAGTTATGTCACGGCGTGTCTGCAAAATGTGTGAGGAAGTCTGAAGTGATGCAGGTCTCTGACGGTTACCACTTTTATAGTGAAACCCACAAGCACGGGTATGGTGCTGACACACCTAGACACATAATTGGGGCGAACCAGGATTCGAACCCAAAATTTATTACAAAATCTGACATCAGATAATACTAATACAATGACCCTCCCCAAAAGACCTATGACTCCATGTAGCACAAATGAGAACCCCCAATTTGTTTTGTAGGTCATGGATAAACCCTAGTGCAGTTTTCTGGCTCCTTGCATTGCAAAATGAAGTAAAAATAGAATCACTAGTGTTTGATTTGAACATAAAAACATGAAGCCAATGCTCATGTTAGTTGGCCATTTGGTGTTCTAGAAACCAATATCTGCTAGAACTCAGCAGGAGATATTGCTTGATCTCACACAAGTGATATTTCCTGTGGGAGTCAGAAATATGTTTAGATCATGTAGATACAAATTCTTAAATATTTAAACATTGAAAACTTGTAAGAATGTGTTTCTCAAATTCCTCAAGGCTTTGAGAGTTGCCACTTTGAAGATGTGTTGGACCATCATATGACCTTTTTTATAGGCATTTCTGCGTGTATTATTATGAAGATTGCTTTGCAGTAGTCATGTTGAGTATTTGGTACGCAGAGCAACATGTAACATGTTTTTATGCATTTTTATTTTTTACCCAGCAATTACCTTTGACCTCCACTGCCCACCCCTTTCAATCCTCAGTTACTGCATTTCCAACATCTTCTAAGGGTCTATGAAGTTGATTGTTTGGTCATTGTGATCATACACTGTGGCTCAAGTGTTTTTTTGTTTCTGTTACAGCTGAGGGAGCAAATAAATTCTGACCAACGTCTGAAACAACTTATTGATGTAAGTACCCTACCATGTTGTATGGTAACCTTTTAGGTCCATTTGTTTTTTTTATTACAATTTGCAACTATAGCTTTGTTCTGAGTCTGGTAAGGATGACATGATGCTTAGAATAGCCCTCCATTCAAGTAGATATGTCACTAGTACTCAAATTGTTGCACACATCTCAAAGACAGCTGTGAACGAAATTTGAATTCAAACGGGGCACTTTGATTGGCGAGTGATTTTAAGCCAATGAGTGAAAGAAATTCTGTGCAAAGTAAGTTTTAAGAGAGATTGAGATGGTCCTGACACTACTGAAACAAAGCACAACGCTTTTGTGGTGAATGGGTCCTACAATTGAGACCTACGACACTTGCTAGTCAGTGATGCACCGTTAGAAATTGGCACTAGTCCTGTAGTCCTTGCCAAACTGCCCAATATTAAGGTATCCTACCGCTATTACATCAGAGTTGCGTCCCTTGGGCACACCAGAAACCTATGATTGTGGGTTCGAATCCTGGTTCGCCCTGATTATGTTTCTAGGTTTGTCAGCACCATACCCGTGCTCGTGGGTTTCACCGAAGTGGTCAACGTCTGAGAGGCCTGCATCACTTCGGGCTTTCCTCCCACATTAAGCTGACATGCCGCGATATAACTGGAATACTGTTAAAAGCGGCGTTAAACCCCACTCACTCACTCACTCACTCACTCTATTACATCATGGCCATAAATTCCCATTTGGGCAATAATCACACAATAAAATCTTTAGATTTTTCAACAGACGTCCTCTTCACTGCCAATTATCCCACAGTTTTGAGGTAAACCCTATCCCTTGTCAAACTGAATCTGCACATGCGCAAGGCGGGAAAACATCACTACTTTCCCGTGTGTTGGATCATCAAGCAAAAGTCTTTGCTCATCAATCCAAACATGTTTTCGGATAATAATTCATAGCTAGTATAGATCTAAAAGATTACAACAGTCAACCTACAATCATCATTGGATTATAGCAGACAATCTACCATCAGTCAAGCTTGCTGAAACGGTGGTATAAGAAGTAAGATCGTTGACGTAAGTAGGTAGATTTAGTTTACGTATTGTAGGGCATGGATGCCTCCCCACTACCGTCATCAGGAGTCTGCTCAGGGTGTGGAATTGATCAAGTGATCAGTGACCCTCACCCTGGATGTAGTACTTGTAGAAAAAGCATGTGCACTCCAAGATCAAGATGCACGTACTGCAAGAACTTGTCAAAGGAAAAATTTGAAAGCTTTGTAAAGCCTTAAATTGTCCTGAATCAAGATCATCGGACAAAAAGTCTTCATCGTTTTTTCCCAAAACCAAAACTCAATCTAAATCAAATGTGGAAAAGTGTTGTCTCTCGGGTAAACTGACTTCCTCAGAGAAACACACAGGCTCAAAAGGGGTGATGTATAAAGAGAACCCATATTTTTCTTTTGAGGAAAAGTCACATTGCTCAACCCACCTGCCCCAAACTAAGGAGCAGGCATCCATCTCTGGTCTTGGGACCGCAGCCTTATGCCTGGGTGCTATAGGTAGTTTGGTCACTCATGGTTTTAAAGAAACATTGGAACCCAAATCTATTCCGTTCTCCCCCTTGAGTATGAGTGAATGGTCTAAATCGCTGACAACAACCATGTCCGAAATGTTTGACAAATGTTTCCAAGCTATATCACAGGATATGAATAAGCTAAAACAACATGCAGATCTGAAGGAAATGACAAGATCTAGATCACATGATTCAGATAGTAAACAAAAGTCCTATTTACATCGTCACAGGTCAGAAAGTTCACAGGACAAAAGACACACTGTATTTTATGGGCGCTTCTCAAGATTGTACGTGCGCTTCTCAGGAAGATGCTAATAGTTCACTCACGTTTAAACCAAACGACTACTCATTTAAAGATATTATCTATGAAATTCATCAATTGATCCCATCTGTAAAGCCTCCAAGCAATGAGGTAGAGGATCCAGTGCTTATTGAAAGGGCTGGTTATGAAAATCCTGTAGAAAAGAGGGAAAGTTTTCATACATTTCCATATCCATCATTCACTGAAAATGTGGTCACAAAAATGAATGCGGATTTAAATGCCTCTACCAGTAGAGCTTTTAGCATTCCTTATCCTCACAAAGGGGGACAATGTTATAAAACTCACCGTGGTCCATTCCCCACATCTACTACCATTGATGATGAATATTTTGATGTGGTCAGACACCCAAATACCAGGATGTATAATGAGATGAACAAATTCAAAGAATTTGACAGTGTTAACAAGCAGATGATAAATATAAGCACGTATATGAACTGGTTTGCAGCAGGCATCAGACATGTACTTCCCCCTGTTAACTGTGAGATTTCACGCACCACTAATCAGAGATTCCAAAACTCCACTATCTCATTGGCATCTAAGCTTAATGAAAAGCGGTCGGCCGACACCCAGGGTCACACGGATCCGGCCTAAGCGCAGACATTTTATGTCGGGACGTGAGTCTTTTCTTGCCTCCACTTGAAAAAGTTCATCCCGTTCCAGACCAAGTCGAGGGAGACATGAGTCCCAAAGAAACAGAGGTCGTGGTCAATCCTATACCAGAGGAAGAGGTAACCGTCGTTCGTGACTCTACACCCAAGAATCTCCCAGCCAAACCCTGTCCACCTTGCTATGTTAATGGACCTCGATTACCGGTTACCCAAGATCATCTTAACGCCTACCGCGGGACCAGTCGGCGGTCGTCTGTCACTGTACGCTGAAAATTGGAAGTCAATTACGGACGACCCTTGGCTAATATAAGTGGTAAAAAGAGCAGTGTCCGGAGCTTTTAGTCCACCCCAAAGGATGACGTTTTCATCTAGTAGGGGCCAAGTTAGCGGCCGCAACTTTGTCTATACGAGAACTACTAGACAAAGGGGCCATCAGCATCATACGAAAGTCAGATACTACAAAGGGGTTTTACTCTCCAGTTTTTCTGGTCCCCAAAAAGAACTCTACAAAGATGCGCATGATAATAGACCTAAAGGTACTCAACAGAGACTACCTAGTACGTCCACCAAAATTTCAAATGAAATCAGTAAAAAAGTTACGCAATTCCCTCAAACTAGGAGATTGGCTAATCAGTCTGGACTTTACAGGATGCCTACCTGCATGTGCCTATTCATCAGAGTTGTCAACCCTACCTATGCTTTGCAGTAAACGGTCTAAGGTTCGAATTCAACGTGCTTCCATTCGGAATATCAATAGCGCCATGGCTTTTTACACGGATTATCACCCCCATCATCGGCTTCGCTCACCTAAATCTTGTAAGACTCCACGGCTATAGAGACAATTTCCTCTCAGCCAATCAAGAATTATTGCAGATAAAGCAGAACGCAATATTTCTGATTCAACTTCTATCTCACTTGGGTTTCCCTGTACATCCCGTCAAGTCTGAAATAATACCAACTCAAGACATTGTGTACATAGGGGTGAGGTTTCAACTTTCAAAAGGCATTTTACAACCTCCAGAGGACATATCTAAGAGCTATAGAGAAGATTCAGAGTGCTCTTGACCAACCCAGCAGGCCATGTCGTTGGCGGGTGTCTTGCCTAGGCATACTGACATCACTCCGAGATCTTACTTACAGACGGAGACTTCAGTTACGTCCACTACAAGTGTGGATGAACACCACCAAAAATATGGATCTGGAAGATGCAATACAACCTCCTCGCAGCCAACTATCGGAACTACGATGGTGGTTTTGGCGTCAAAACGTCATGCCAGGCATCCCTCTCATGTTCCCCCATCCGTTACACCATCTATATACAGACGCATCAGGTGAAGGTTGGGACGCACATATGGACGACGTCACAATCCAAGGAATGTGGTCAAATCAAGACAAAAATTTACACATAAATTGTCTGGAAATGAGAGCTATTGTCCAAGCAATGAAGGCTTGGGCCCACCTACTATACCCCTCGTCGGTACTGATAGCTACAGACAACACCACGGTGGTAGCGTACATACAACATCAAGGGGGCACGAGATCAGCACTTTTGTTGAGGGAGGTTACGCTTTTATTTGCCTTGGCAGACTCAGTGAGTTGCAGGATAGAAGCACGGCACATACCGGGAAGAGTGAACATACTTGCAGACTGCCTATCCCGGAAAAAACAGATTGTACCCAAGGAATGGACTCTCCACCCAAGGTATTCAAGTGGATAACCTCGACGTGAGATACCCCTCACCTTGATTTGTTTGCCACATGCCTAAACCATCGACTTCCCGTTTACGTCAGCCTAGTCCCAGATCCATTAGCCCTTCGGGTCGACGCCCTATCCATGAGTTGGCAAGGGATGTTCGCCTACGCTTTCCCTCCCTGGTCTCTCCTGGACAGAGTAATAAAGGAAGATCGAGGACACAGATTGCGTCATAATTCTGATAGCCCCAGCGTGGCCCAACAGAGCGTGGTTTCGAAGACTGATTCTAATTCTCATAGAAGAGCCTCTCAAACTGCCAGAACGTCACGATCTCCTCCACCAACCAAAATCGGACATATTTTACTGCAACCTGACAAATCTCCACCTTCACGCCAGGAAACTATCGCGACAAAGATGCAAGTTTCCGGTTTCTCTGATTCAGCTTCAGAAGCGGTTGCTAGCTCATGGAGACCAGCTTCATCAGCTATCTATAACGTCAGATGGAGAAAGTTCTGCCAGTGGCGAATAGAAAGAGGTTTGAGTGACGAAAATATAACAATACCTATAATGGCTGATTTTCTTCTTCACCTGAGAAATGAGAAAGTGTTCAGACATGGTACAATTGAAGGCTATAGATCAGCATTAGCCTCAGTTCTACAACATGATGGTTTATCCATAGGATCTCACCCAGTCTTAAATCGTCTCCTGAAATAGTTTTCACTGGAAGACATAAAAAACCCACACATTTTCCCTAAATGGAATTTACCCATCGTTCTCTCTGCACTGATGGAAGCTCCATATGAACCAATGGCAGAGGCTACTGTACACTTTTAACAGTTTCTAAAAAGACTGCCTTCCTCTTAGCGTTAGCTACAGCTGCTAGAGTGTCTGAGCTTCATGCAATTGATATCGCATCTACTACGCATTCACAAGAATGGAGCACAATATCTTTCAGATCACTACCAGAATTTATCGCCAAAAACCAGGCATCAGGGTTTGGGCCTCTAGGACATAGACAATACTCTATCCCATCTTTGAGTAAAACAGTTGATCATCCAGATAGACTATTATGCCCCATCAGAGCTCTGAGATACTATATTTCAGTTACTCAGAACCACAGAAAGAAAAGAAAACAGCTCTTTATCTCTTGCAAGCCTTCCTCAGAAAGGACATTACTAAGGCTACTGTGGCCGGATGGCTTAAGAACACTATATCTGATAGTTATCATCAAGCCCAGCTCTACACCAAAATGGGGAAGTTGCAAGGCTCATGAAATCCGTGCACTAGCAACAAGTCTGGCCTCATGGAATTCAGTTTCCATCGAACAAGTGGTATCAAGCTGTCCATGGTGATCCCACAATACGTTTACTCATTTCTACCTACGAGACGTACAACACGATCTAGAGGGGCTATACTCCCTGGGGGCCTTGGTGGCGGGCCAGGCTATAGTCACTCAGTAGCCTATCCACCCCCAGTTCTGTGGAAGTTCGGAGGGTGGGGGGGTGGGGGGGTGGGGGGTGAAGATCCCAGAAGGTAAGTTAGTTTTTACACCTTTACACTATGTCAACTAGGTTGGACGGATCTTTGGCTAACATCTGGGATCATAGATCATAAGGTGATAGGGTTATTACATTGTTAGTCGCTTGGCGTAACTAACATGTATAACTACCAGAGGTGTCGTCGTGGAAGACTTCAGAACCGGAATTACGGAAAGGGTATGTTTTATCACCAATATATAAAGGGAAACATGTCATCAGCATAAAAGTATGACAATAACGTACCTGAGGTGAGATAAGTATATATGCTGTTGGCTATAGAGCAACAAGTATATATCTGCGTCACAATGAAAGATTAACCTAAAGTGACGTCATAGATGACCTCAGAACCGGAAGTGACGTCATAGTGACCCAAATGATGTCACAAGAGATTGAACCAAAAGTGTCATCATAGATGTTCTCAGAACCGGAAGTGACATCAGAAAGGTCATATATCATATATCTGCAGGTTTGCCAAGGGTGAAATCAGGAAGTCTGGCATTGATTCATACCCCGTTGCGCCTATGTTTCGCTAAACTTCAATGCTGCCAATTATCTGGGAGTACAAGATGACAGATCCCACCTGTCCCTCTGGTAAATACTGGCTATGATGTAATAGAGGTAGGATATTCGTAGGAATGATCAAACAATAGTTATCATTGTGTATAATTCTAAGAATACTACCACCTCCCCAATATATCTTACATCTTGTCGATGAAGGTTATTGGAAAAAAGTGATGTTTTCACGCCTTGCGCATGCGCAGATGCAGTTTGACAAGGGATAGGGTTTATCTCAAAACTGTGGGATAATTGGCAGTGAAGAGGACGTCTGTTGAAAAATCTAAAGATTTTATTGTGTGATTATTGCCCAAATGGGAATTTATGGCTATGATGTAATAGAGGTAGTATTCTTAGAATTCTACACAATGATAACTATTGTTTGATATCTCTCCATTCTTGGATACAGGTTGGGGGGATTAAAAACTTGGTAAAAAAAGTCAATTTAATATTTTGGAGATAAACAATTACAAAATATGATTATTGACAGACATGATAGATATGTATGGCAGGCCAGGTGATATCAGTGAGACCCAATTTTAGAGTGAGTGAATGAGTATGGTTTTACGCCGCTTTTAGCAATATTCCAGCAATATCACGGCGGGGGACACCAGAAATGGCCTTCACACATTGTACCCATGTCGGGAATCGAACCCGGGTCTTTGGCGTGACGAGTGAAGGCTTTAACATTGTTTAACCACTAGGCTACCCGACCGCCCCCCAATTTTAGAACTCATAAGCCTTGTATGGTTTACAGGATTTGCATACATATTATCTTGTTTTGTTTGTCAGCGTTACATGGACTGCACCAGCGAGCTGAAGGAGCTCTATGAAGACAAGGATGGGTAAGTGTTAAGTGGGTAACATGAAACATAGGCTTTAAAGGAAACATATCACTATCAGTGCCTTGTTTGCATCAGTTAGTGGCAATTAACTTTAGCCAAAATAAGAGGAGAAGCGTGTGACTATTGTGGATATAGGTATGATATTTTCTTGAGTTTAGTGCATGCTTTCAAAAATCAACACAGCTGTGTTGAGAGGGATAAAAAAAAAATCACGCAATAATGAGTTTTGATATTTTTTCCCCCAATACAAAAACATTACCACAGGCATGTAACACTTGAAATACCATGTCAACAAATCTGTACTTTAAGTACACAAATTATTCCTGTTGTTTACACTATTAGCAAAGTGTATCAACCAAGGGCTGAAGTGGTTACTTTGGCTAGTTAGGAATTTGTAAAAAAATAATTATTTTTGCTGTTTCCATCGTAACAAGTTTGACTTTGACTCTGTTAATAGTGGTGTGTTTGTTCAGACCAATCTCTATAACTAATATGTATTCTTTTATGACACTTTGCACACACAAAGACCGGGTTGTCAAATGGTGCATTTTGGTACTTAGTGTTGTTTAGAGGTTATATTTTTCCCCATTTCCATGGCAACAAGTTTGTCACAAAATTACGAAATCCAATTCCATGGTATTGTATTGGTAGGTCAATAACTACTCTTGTATACATTGAAATTCTCTCATTAAGTTGGACTTACAGTAACAGTCAGATGAATTGTTCTTTAAAATTTGTGGGGGCCAGGATTTGTCATCCTCTAATGACTTTTGTATTCAAAATGTCATTCAGTATTGTTTACACTGATTTCGGCGAAATCATGTGTGAAGTGATCGGTAGATCGCACCGACTCAGAGTTATTTACAGTAATCACGGTCAGATTATCACTACTGATGCCTTGAAATGACCCTTAATTGACAGAGAATGGATGCATGTATCATAAATGCAGTACTTGAACTTGTTAAAAGTGATATTTGTTGTGGTTTGATTATTATATGTTAACATAATGTTCTTGTGATCGAAATAATAAGACTGTGGGTAGCCACAATGGTAACTCTACAAACTGTTCAATAAGTAAAAAATATCTGTCCATAGCAATCAGCCATACATCATTATTATTATTTGAAATATATATATATATATATATATATATATATATATATATATATAGTAAAAGCTGTGACTAACATACCATGATCATTGAGGCTATTGAAATATATTATTCCTGAAACAATAATAGTTTCAGATACAATTTCTTCTGATCATAGCATAAGGATTCTTTGAAGTTCTTATTGGGTGTGTTTTAACTGGATCACCTGTAGATCTGGGATATCTAGTCTCAGAGACATACACATGGTAATCTTAATCTCTGTATATAAAGCAATGCCTAGCAGAACAGAAAATACAATTGAAATGGTAAATCATCATGTCTAGTGATGTTTCATTGCAAATTTCACATTTTTATTGACCAAGTTTGTTACCTGCCCCAAGTTCACCTGAGGTGATTCCATGGAGTTTTTGACTGCATATAATACTCAAACCAAACATTCCACTGCATCATTAGAGGGTTGCATACTATGCTTCGGTGTGCACTAATATTTCGAGAAAATATGAAAGGTGCCTGAAAGATGTTTAGAATTCATGAATATTGAATGTCTTATGCTAGTTACCATAGTTACTGTGAGGATGTTATGTTATAACTTCAGGTTGCGTAAGGATGAGATTCAAGCTCTTGCAGGACCCAATGAGTATGCAGAATTTCGGGCCCGCTTAGCAGCTATTGATCGCTTCCATTCCCAGCACCCAAATGAGGTATTGTTCATTCTCAACCAGTTGATACCAGCATAAGACTGTATGAAACTGTGTGAGACAAAAATGTTTGAGGTGGGGAAGAAGACATGCTGTTCATGATCTCCAAAGGATTGTTTATGCTATTTATTCATCAAGTTCAGTATTAGAAATTAATCATGAAAGTGAAGGCCTTCTTGTCATAACAAGATTTAAGGGGTCTCTTGATTCAAATGCTATTAGATGTCTGAAATACCCCCAGGATCCGAATGCATGATATAAATGGGGTTGCTTTAAAGTTTGGCCAGAATTTGAACGGAGCCTCACTTTGTTTTTTGAAAGGGCACAGTGAAGGGCATTGTAAATGTTTGCCATTTTCATTAAAATGCCTTTTTCTGCAGACTTGAGCATGTAGTGGTTATGTTGCTTGAACACTTATGTATTACAAGTAATGACAATAGATTTTTTACTTATCCTGCATTACTCCTTAATGCATCTGTTAAATGTGTCTCCTTAAATCAAGGCAGTCATTACAGTTTGCAGTTGTTGGCTAGGTATTATATTTTGTATTGTTTAAATACCTTAGCCATTAGTATTTTATACACTTTAAAACTATAAATTTTGCAATTTAATCTTTACTTTATTAATCGGTATGCACAAGTCTACTTTCACTGCATCTTCAAGTTTTGCATAACATATTCTTGTGCGTTAAGTTAATTGTCTTTGCAAAAAATCTTCTAAATATCCTCCTCTGCGTTCTTTGGATTGCACTCAGGTGTACACTTCGAATTTAAAATGTAATTTTTGTTCACCACTCTCCCTAGCAAGTTTCTCAGCTTAACATGCTTGTAGACAGGACTTGCATAAATATATAAGTACTACAACACTTCCGTGGGATTCGCACGAAACTTCCAGCCACCATTCCCCGATTATCACTTCTCAACCGTCAACGTCGGGTTGGGCATTACTAAGGATGGGTATTGGAAGAATAAAGGGTATCACAATATTTTGCGATGCACAAGGCTGTATTGTGATACATATCACAATATATTGTATAATTCTAAATTTTTAATTCAGAAGCAATCTGATACATTAAGGTATGAATTGAAGTTCATAAATGGAACAAAACAATATGCTGGTACAACGTGATGATTACTCAGTCAATAAATACGCAGCCATCTTGGGGCCCCAGATGCATGCTGCAGGAGAGAGAAAGGCATTTGGCAAGAAATAACACTTGATAAAAATCGCTATTTGAAATCCCCCAATATATCGAGCATGCTAAAATGATATTGTGATATCTATCATGGAAAGAGTGCACCTCAATTTACCGATATACCGATAATACCTCACACCCTTAGGCGTTACCCACTGTTCCCGGGATGCCTGACACTCCTTTGCCACTGCACACTACGGCGCCAGACACTATTGTAAGTTCCTTACCTGTCCCTAAATTTCAGGCATCCCTGGCCTCCACAGTGATGGTTCCAGTGATGCCAGTGCATGCACCTCATGGTGGTTCTACCAGGCAGGCACTGGCACGTATTTCCAGCGCATACTCCTGTTGTCCAAGCACATACGCTTACATCAGTGCCTGCCACACACAAGATGACTGTGATACCATCTACGCCTTCCACATCAACTGGCACGCCCATGTGGTAGCAGTCTAGGACACAGATGTATCCAGCGCCTGCGTCAATGTACCAGACACCTCTGCCACCAGACACCTGTGATACCATCCACTCTCCCGTCTAGCGGTGTATGTTCACGTTGGTTACACGATTCCATGGAGAGGCGTTAGAATTTGTTTCATGTGGCTTTTGGTAGTCATGATCCGTACCAAAACCTGAAGACCATCACACATTCACGTTCGACATTTGACAGCATCGTCAGCTACCCGGTACCCATTTGTTGGGATCATTGTACACAGGACAGTTCCAGGCGTCACAAATTTCATCGAGATCAACTTCTTGCCCCAGCCAAGTCATACGTCCTACACAGAACTTGTAAACACCACTTGGCTGTTTAACACACAATTCACAGTGGACTGTCCATGGTGGAGCTCGAACCTCGTCACCAGCGTAATGTAGGATTCAAGGTTACTGCGGAGGGTGATTTAAATATCACGGGTCAAGAACTCTGACTGTAAACATCCCGACCTTACTGGAATTAGGTCAATTAGTAGCCAAGCAGGGTAATTGTACCAGATTTGTTTGCATGCTTACTGGTATGTAATACTGCAACCTTTCAATCCGAGGCCTGTCGCTGTACATCAATGTGACTGAGTCACTTCAGTAGACCGCTGATACCAACATGCCCAGTATCTAGGCACACGTGGAGTAACGGGCACCTCCCTTCATCGTCTCCTTGATATAAGAACGGGAGCTATTGTGCGGCAATCGGTTGAGGAGCACATTTATTGTCTACATGGGATCTGGCAGTGTTTCGCATACAAACACTATTTTCCACGTCTCATCCAGACACGACACGATCAGCAGCCCTCATGTAGTTGATTTTTCCACTTTACAGCCTTGAATTCAACAATCTGCTACGCGCTCTTCAACATCCAATTACATTTTTGTCAATGGCAAGTATTGCTGGGATTGCTCGCATACGGTAAGCCCAGCTTTAAAGCTTCGAGGCTGTGGTCTGGCAGACAGTGCACATGGCACATCAACAACCTCAAGTTGAGGGCACTTGTTATGTCATTGGCTGGAGCACCTACGAAACCCTCAATTCGCAATCTCCACCGACAAGCATGGGGGTGTGGTGCCTGCACAACCAGGACTACAATTTCTAGTCCAGCACATCCAGTGTTTCCGTTAGCTTTTTTGTCAGCCGGTCATTTGACTGGCTGACTAAAAATATACTGGTCCTTATCATTTTCGGACAGTCCCCCATGTTACTGTGTAAAAACATACCTTTCGATCAGAGTTTTCTCTTTTTATTTCTGAACTGTAAATTTGCTGCAGGAAGGTGTTTTTCACCAGAATGCATGTTCAAGATCATAAGATTGTTTGATCTTCGCTGGCAAAGTCAGTTACGACTCGCCGTATGTATGCGGTTTTGTAGACTGAAGCCGCGTTCGGCTGGTACGCTGCTGACAGGTATCGTCATGGCTACAGCTGTGAAAACAGCAAAATCTGGATAAATATCCTCATAAGCAGCCATGATAACTCGACAATTCTGTTGAAGTGTGTGTGTACCAAGTCCCACAACTGTAGTTTTGTAGCTGGCAAATCACGGTTGGCCCGGTTGCCATCTATGATATATGTGACGTCATTATTTATTGGACAAATCACAGGACTGAAATGGGTAATCAGCTGATTTAGGGAATCCCTTCCATAGTTATTCAATTCTTCGCGTGAATCTGGGAAGTGAGATGGGTTCAGGACTTTGTCAAAGACAAGAAAGCGTAGACAGACTGTCTTCAGGAAATCAGGCATGTAATGTACTGCACAATTCATCGATGAAGCCTGCACGTGAATTTTGAAAAGCGTGCACCGAACGTGCATCTGCATATGTAACTTTCACACCACGAAACACGCCGTTTGTGATGTTGTCAATAAACGATTGCTCATTTTCTCCTGGTGTTTTTAGCAATCTTTGCAATGAATCGCAGGTTGAGTTCAAAATTGGCATTATCATGCCGAGATTCAGATTGTCTTTCTGAAATATTGTGACAAGTTTGTCCATATGATACAACACATCTGATAGCATGTAGGTTGTTGAGTAGGTTTTGATTTTTTTCTGGATGTTGACTGCTGCACCATTATTTTGCTCTGCTGCTTCTTCTTCTATTTCCATGACAAGTGCTGGCCAGTTATCTTTCGTCCCCATAACAGCCCTCCCTTAGGACAGCCAACGCACACTGCACGGCTGCTTTACGCTTGAAAAATCGGATTCAGAAAGAACCTCCGACAGTTCACGTAATCTGGCATATCTCGTCGCTGAATATTCGTACAGTTTGTAAATGCTATTCAGTGTTTCTAAATAATCAGCGATAGTCTTAGATACTTTGGCTGCATCAGCGGATGCTTAAGCCACTCTGTGGGCGATACAGTGCACATGAATCATGAAAGGGCTGCCACCTTGTTGCAGTCGTACACCAGACCCCACTTCGCCGTCCAGTCATCACACTTGCGCCATCAGACCCTAGACCGATAACCTTTTCGATAGGAATGTTCCACTGTACTAACACTTCTTTAACCTTCTCTGTAACACACTCGGCCGTCGTGTACCGTAAAATTACCAAGAAAGATTGTCTCAGGTTTTCCGTTAAGCATTACTCCGATGAACATAATCAGTTTTTTTTTCACAGTAACGTTTACTGTTTCATCGATGATTAAACCAACGAACCTGCTTTCCTTTCTTTTTTTCTTTAGATCCTTAATAGTGCTTTCAACTAAAGCATGTTCCATTTCTTCCACTGAATCAGAATGTGTATATACCACACCTATAAAACTGGTACATCCATTTTTTTCCTGCAAATCCAGGAGACTAGAAAATTTATTAGTAGCAATATTTTCTTTTGCCATGAATAATACAGTTCTCATCATCACAATCAATTTTTCATCATTTTTTACCGTTGCCGCATTCATATGAGTTGCCATGGAAGTTCTTTGATACATCGTGGTAACAGCATGGTGATGTGCTGCGCTATCGCGATGCTTTTTCAATGCCGACTTCTTCATATTAATGCAACCTTTTGTAAATCTGTTTTGTTTACTAGCTGCCTCACATATCTTGCAGTACATCATAATTCTACCACATTTCTCTTCATAACGTAGCCATTTGAATTCCTGCAACCATTCAGAATTAAATTTCCGAATTTTAGTTTGGCTGGCCTTATTGACAACTGACAGTTGACGTATCTGACCCTCATCTAAGACATTGAATCAAGTTTACGTTTTTGAGCAACATTTTGACTACAATCACCAGTGCCCGTATCTTTGTCACCCTCTTTGTCAATCTCTGAGACAATTTTCTTACTTTTAAAAGACGATTTAGACCCTCCGTCCCCGAGCGTACTGTTTTTACCCCCAAAGAATGATGACAGTGTCGTCTGCTTGCCCGCCATTATTACAGCAGTACTGTCATGCTCAAGCTCCTCACAGCAACAGCCAATCTCACAATGTTACGTCACGAAGGTATCAGAGCTTGCAGTTACACATGGTTCACCCTCCTACCCAGAGTTCCATGCGGTCAGCATAGGTCCTCTCAGATGATTCGTCACATCTCCATTCAAGCAAAGACGTATATATATGCCTTTGATTCAAGATATCGCATATGTATTTCATCTGTTTCATTTTTGACGAGCCTATCTAGTAGAGGGTGAGGCCCCGTTGGGATGGTCATATATCATACAAAAACTTTTTTTTTTGTGTGGTAACATTTTTTATTAAGGAAAATGATTACAACTATGTCATGTAGATTTTCTTGAGCAAGGAAAATGCAATAAGTGCCCCAAGGAGGATTTCATCATAGAATCCATAACCTCTACAGGTTTGTACGAATTTGTGGTAGCATATTTAGATCTGTATTATTTTATAAAACAATACCTAAAGCTCACCAAAGGCTTGCATTAGGCCAGTCTGTTCTGTTTTCAGAATAAGCGTGTTTGTTTACAAACACGCGAAAGTTCAGTCACGTGATTGTGATATGCAAATTAGCCAATGGCAATGGTGCAATGCGAAGTCATCAGTGCGCATGAGTGTGCGCGTAGTTCTGAACTCATTTGGAAAATATTGATTAAATCTGTTACTTGATTACTATAGCTTTGTTGTGTCTAGATACCAAAGATATAAAGATGCAATCTGAATGAAACGAAACGAGTTGAGTCCAGTTTATTTTTAGAAAACTGGGATTTCCTTTCTGTGTGGAAGAGAAACACGGACTGATTTTAGAGTTGAGTGAACAAAGTTTTAACACCTTGTTGCAGACAGAGACTCAGTTGAAGTTATTTTTTTCTAACATTCTTTCTACCGGTCACTGGGACCGTCAGACTAAACATTTACCAGTCTTTGCCATTTTGTACCGGCCAAAAGCTGGCATATACCGGAGAACGGAAACACTGACATCCCAGTGTGTTGGAACATTCTGGCGGAGGCATTACTGGTAACTCCACCCAGAGGCGTTTTTTCAACTGGTGCATGAGTGGTTCGGTCAACCAATATCGACCTCATTGCAACACACCATAACCACCAGCTGATGACGTTTGACTCGACCCGTGAAGATCCGGTGTAGAATAGATCTTCAGCAACCGATGCTTGCCGTAAAAGGCGACTATGCTTGTCGTAAAAGGCGACTAACGGGATCAGGTGGTCAGGCTCGATGACTTGGTTTGATGCATGTCATCAATCCCAATTGCGTGGATCGATGTTCATGATATTAATCACTGGATTGTCTGGTCCAGACTCGATTATTTACAGACCGCTGTCATATAGCTTGAATATTGCTGAATGCGGCGTTAAACAACCAACCAACCAACCAACGTACCAACCTACCAACGTTTGTCTCTCCGATCCCAGGTCCGCAGGCTTGGGCGGTAGACGCATTCAGTATCCCTTGGAATGGCTAAAAGCTTACACTATTCTGCCTCCTGTACTATTTCCCAGGGTGATACACAAAATAAAAGTAACCAAGAGCCTCGCTCTGATTTTGGTCATGCCCTGGTGGCCGGTGAAGGGGTGGGTGGTTTGTTGATCTCAGAAATTTCGCAGAGTACAACCCACTAACACCATCTCATTTGGTTAAGAGCCATTATCCTTCAGGCTTATGAGATAGCCAACCTTGATCCACCGAGATCTAACAATCCTCATGAGATCCAGGTGATCCATTAGAGCTTTCATGGAAGGATGCTGTTAGAGGTCCGACACTGTCTTCGCAAGCCACTACCTGAGGAATGTGGCCTTGGAAGATGTCAAAGGCGTTTATAGTTTTGGATGTAGTCCAGCAGGTCACCAATCCTCGTTGCCATTAAAAAGCTCCTCCTGTCCAGAGCCAGCCATAATTGACTCGCGCAGAGTTCGCACCCTGGACAGGTTTTTTTTTCTGCTTCCGAGCAGTTGGCTTGGTAATCAGTTTCTAGACTTTAGCGCACGCTAATTTCTCTTGCTGCATTTTACTGGGACGCCCTCATACTTTGGATGCTAATCCTATCAAGGTCTCAACCATAATTTAGGTATTTTATTTTCAAATAGACTTTAATGGACTAAATGCATTGATAGTCTTGTTGTTAAAGCAAATAAGGAACTGTTAAAAAAAGGCATTTTAAATTTCATAGCATGCCAATAAATATATCGTTTAGACTGTTTGATATTAATTGAAACCTATTGTACTTATGGGGATGAAATATGGGAATACTCTGTTCATCAGTCATTGTATTGTCTGAATGTGGCAGATATGGTTAATATGTGGAATATCATCTAAAATGTAATACATACTGGTGCAAAGTTTGCATAGGACAGATGACAGGTACCCATGACAATGTTTATGAAAAAAGTAGATGACAGTGGAAGAATCATATGGGCTTCAGAGCATCATGGGGGTTTGGAGATGTTAGGAATGCACAAAGTGTGGGCAATGTCAAGTGCCTTCTAAGTGTGTTAACACAACATTTGCAGGATTGTAATATGCAGTTGCCCTCATGTAAAATGTGTAAATTATCAGAGTATGTTAATCAAATTACATTAGTAACTGGAACATAACTTTATCTAACAGGCATTAGAAACAGAGAAGCTACACATTTCTTTGTGTGTGAGGATATATGTATTGCCCATCCATAGTAACTTAGGAAGACAATTAGGTATTGATTGTGATCATCGACTAAGTGACATGTGTAATTCTGGCTGCACTGACGATGAAATAGATTTTTGAAGTGAGACTATATGTTGTGATAACACTAATGATGTTTCACTAATATGTAAGAAACTAACTTGCTCATGATGACTGATCATGTTATTTGATAGAAAGTAGAAAATACTTCAATAGCTTGCCATATTCTTTGCACGTATGATTTTCTAAGTGCAGTAAGAATGGTAAGAGCTCAATGATTGATCTTTCTTGTTATTGTTTCAGATCAGTGTCCCCATGTCTGTTGAGTTTGAGGAATTGGCAAAGCAACGGGAAAATCCGACTGAGGAAACACAGAGTAGGTCCCGAGTCTACATTAAGTTTGTTAGGACTGTCAGTATATATATACTCTTCAAAAAAAGAAACTTGACACTGACTTTCAAAATGTAATATAATGCGATTGTTTCAAATAGGACACAGAAACCATTATTGAAACACTGTTTGAAGATCAATGTACACAATGTTCAAAACATTAATCGTGTCACCTAGACAGACACACGTACACGATACAGTTAATGTCACAGGGGTACAGAAATTGTCAGTATCGGTTGTGCCCACCACGTGCATCAATCACCGCTTGACACCAACGACTTACAGATGCAATCAAGTTGTCAATAACACGCTGTTGGATGTGCTGCCATTCATGCTGAAGTGCATCAAGAAGCGCCGGAAGTGTTTGGGGCGGTGGATTCCTTCTGCGAACGCATCGATCCAACGTGTCCCACAGATGCTCAATCAGGGGCAAATCTGGTGACCGGGCTGGCCAAGGTAATGTCTGGATGTTGTTGTGCTGTAAGAAGTCCTGACAAACACGTGCAATATGCAGTCGAGCGTTGTCCTGCTGGAACTGTACGCCATGAACGTTGACGTGAGGAAGAACGTAAGGCTGTTGGATCAAGTCTCTGTAACGCACACTGTCAATGCACCTGCCACATGTACGAGAGGCGTCCAACCACTGTGATGAATTCCATACCATGACACTCCCGCTGCCAAATGGGACAACCTGCTGCACACAGTTGGGGGCGTAACGTTCACGCCGACGTCTGTGAGTAGGAAACGGGACTCGTCAGTAAACAGTACATTTCTCCACCTTGCACGTGCCCATCTTACCCTCTGCTGGCACCAAAGCAGACGGTCCGCCAGATGACGTGGGGTCAATACATGACGTCGAACAGGTCTTCGTGCAAAAAGTCCAGCCTCCGTCAGTCTGTTGCGTACCGTTTGATCTGATATTCTGCGTACCCCAGGGATCTGTGCGGTTGTAGACGTGGCTGTGGTAGTGCGGTCTCGGAGGTATCGCAGCCGGATGTATGGATCTTGTGCTTGGGTTGTCACCCTTGGTCTTCCTGACCTTGGTCTGTCGTCAACTCTGTTGGTGTTGTTGTATCGGGTCCACAGTGCGGAGATTGTCTGTCTGGATACGCCAAAGTGCCTGGCCACTTCTTGCTGAGTTGCTCCAGCTTGTCATCTCCCAATGGCGTTGTTCCGTTAAGCTGCATTCAGTCTTGGCATTCTGTCACCGCCTCTACTGCTGTTATAAGGACTGTATGAACGGCCGTTGATGTAGATTTTTGTACCCATTCAGCAGGGGGGCCTGCATGCCTAAATGCAGGATCCTGTGCTGCACAATTTTTACAGGCGGTTGCGTTTGGATGAAGCTGTAAAATTGATCCCCAAACGCTACGTTTATGTGCTTTGCATGTGTTTTCGTGAATTATAGACACATCATCTTTCTGTTTGACTTATTTGGTTCTCATTTAATGTAATTATTTTAGATATTTGGCAAAAAGTGGTTTTACATCTATGTCAAGTTTCTTTTTTTGAAGAGCATATATATATATATATATCACATGTATTATAAGGTATACATACATTTCTGATATAATGCGCAATGACAAATGAAGCTCTGTAATGTTAGTTTGGTTGTAATGAATACAGTTTCTTCTTTCTGAAGCCCTTTCTCAAAAACAACTGATTTAGTTTTGTTAAGTGAATTTTTAAAACGTTAAGGCCAAGAATTGAAACTTTGTGTACTGCAACAATGTTATGCAACTCTTCTACAACATTTACACCTAACATTCAGTGTTGCAGATTAAAAAAAACAGTTGCAAGTTTGTGATTTTTTACATATTTGTCCAGAACTACTGGTGGTCTTCACTTTATGCAGACAATATTTTTAATGATGTTGACAGTCTTCAATGACCGTCCTGATTGATATTGGCATCTTTTGACATTATATTCAGGTGGACGAAGAACGGTGACTTAGTGTTTTTATCCAGTGAAACCCCAAATCTTCAACTTAGTGCAACTGTCGTTTAGTGCTATGGGAAGCTGACTCATCTAAGACAGAATGAGGCTCTAGGATGCCTGTGCTCAACAGTTGTTGTTTAATAATCTGCGATGATGTCATGCATTGTCCTTTATTCCATCATCTGTTACAGATGCAGTAGAGTTCACAGATGAGGAAGGATATGGTCGTTACCTAGATCTACATCAGTGTTACGAGAGGTACCTCAACCTCAAGGGTATTGAGGTAAGTGCACACACATCTCAATACATGCATATATATATGTCTGCATTCAAACTTGATTGTTTTGAGGCGACTGTGATCATCATAAAAAACAGTCTTCACTAACATGACATTGGTACATGTTTATCAATTGACATTTCAGAAAATTGATTACATCACATACCTGACCATATTTGACAGACTATTTGATGTTGCCAAGGACAAGAAGAATGCTGCATACAAAGAGTGAGTTTCCTGTTTTTGTATATAACACAGTCAGGGGTAATTACACAAACAATGACTTGGCTTCAACAATGACTTGTTGTACTAGTTATCAGTGTCACTGTGTGTACAATGTCTTGTTGTACCGTATTTTCTTGAGTATAGTGCGCACCCATGTATAATGCGCACCCCCCTCTAGCGGATTCAAAATTTTGGAAAAAAATGAAATTTGAATATTATGCGCAGAAAAAAATTACACCGTACCCCTTCAGCGAAGTCCGGCAAACGAACGGGTGATGAGAAACTTTGTCAGTACAAATTCGAAATTTGAGATAAAAAATCACCAGACATGTTGATTTACCGTTTAAATTGTATTTTTTGTTCAGCTAGGCATCGTTTTATATCCAGGGATTAAGATTACCTTGTGTATTTTCATATAAGCCGGACACAGCAATCAGCTGTACACACGTTTTCTTGGAATCTACCAGTGATTCAGTCAAGACACACCCAATGATATACTTTACAGGATTTTAATGCAAGGATCGGCAAAAGTTGTATCTGAAACTATTTTTTTATGAGGAATAATCACTGATAATATATTCCAATATCTTGTTAATTTAGATGCAGCTTTTACTAAACATTTAAAATAATAATAACCCTAAGCGAAGCAGCTGATCGCTATTGCCGGGTATTATTTTTTACATGGAACCAGTCTGACCAGTCACCGTCAAGGCTCCCGTGCACGTGATCGCGAGAATTAAGTGTTGACAGAATCGTCCATCAAAAACAAATATGACTTTTAACGAATCAAAGTATGGCATTTATGATATATGTATTCATTCTCTGTCAACTAAAGTTCGTTTCAAGGCGTCAATAGCGGTAATCTGACCGTGTTTGCTGTTAATAACGGTGAGTTGTGCGATCTTTCGATCCTTCACACACGATTTTCGCCGAAATTAATTAAAACAATATTAAATTGAATTTTGAATAAAATTAATGAAATAAATTACAAACATAAGTCCAGATATACAAAGAACACTTTTTATAGCCAGACAGTGTAATGAATAATTTGTGTACTTCAGTATGGATTTGTTGACATGGTATTTCCGGTGTTACGTGCTCACGGTAATATCTTTCCATGGGGGAAAAAACATAAAACTAATTAATTCATGTATAATGCGCACCCCCTTCTACTCAGCTGTGTTTTTGGAAAAAAAATGCGCACTCTACTCAAGAAAATACGGTACTTGTTATAAGTGTCACTGTGTGTACAATGTCTTCTTGTACTAGTTATAAGTGTCACTGTGTGTACAATGTCTTATTGTACTAGTTATACGTGTCACTGTGTGTACAATGTCTTCTTGTACTAGTTATAAGTGTCACTGTGTGTACAATGTCTTCTTGTACTAGTTGTAAGTGTCACTGTGTGTACAATGTCTTATTGTACTAGTTATAAGTGTCACTGTGTGTACAATGTCTTCTTGTACTAGTTATAAGTGTCACTGTGTGTACAATGTCTTCTTGTACTAGTTGTAAGTGTCACTGTGTGTACAATGTCTTCTTGTACTAGTTATAAGTGTCACTGTGTGTACAATGTCTTATTGTACTAGTTATAAGTGTCACTGTGTGTACAATGTCTTATTGTACTAGTTGTAAGTGTCACTGTGTGTACAATTTCACTTTCTTCTGACTGTCACTGTATGTACACTGTCTTCTGACTGTCACTGTGTGTACAGTTTCACTGTCTTCTGACTGTCACTGTGTGTACAGTTTCACTGTCTTCTGACTGTCACTGTGTGTACACTGTCTTCTGACTGTCACTGTGTGTACACTAGCTTCTGACTGTCACTGTGTGTACAGTTTCACTGTCTTCTGACTGTCACTGTGTGTACAGTTTCACTGTCTTCTGACTGTCACTGTGTGTACACTAGCTTCTGACTGTCACTGTGTGTACACTGTCTTTTGACTGTCACTGTGTGTACAGTTTCACTGTCTTCTGACTGTCACTGTGTGTACACTAGCTTCTGACTGTCACTGTGTGTACACTGTCTTCTGACTGTCACTGTGTGTACAGTTTCACTGTCTTCTGACTGTCACTGTGTGTACACTGTCTTCTGACTGTCACTGTGTGTACACTAGCTTCTGACTGTCACTGTGTGTACACTGTCTTCTTCTGACTGTCACTGTGTGTACACTAGCTTCTGACTGTCACTGTGTGTACACTAGCTTCTGACTGTCACTGTGTGTACACTGTCTTCTTCTGACTGTCACTGTATGTACACTGTCTTCTGACTGTCACTGTGTGTACACTAGCTTCTGACTGTCACTGTGTGTACACTGTCTTCTTCTGACTGTCACTGTGTGTACCGTGTCTTCTGACTGTCACTGTATGTTCACTGTATTCTTCTGACTGTCACTGTGTGGACACTGTCTTCTACTGACCGTCCTTGTGTGGACACTGTATTCTTCTGACTGTCACTGTGTGGACACTGTCTTCTTCTGACTGTCACTGTATGTTCACTGTATTCTTCTGACTGTCACTGTGTGTACACTGTCTTCTTCTCACTGTCACTGTGTGGACACTGTCTTCTACTGACCGTCCTTTTGTGGACACTGTCTTCTTCTGACTGTCACTGTGTGGACACTGTCTTCTTCTGACTGTCACTGTGTGGACACTGTCTTCTTCTGACTGTCACTTAGGGACACTGTCTTCTTCTGACTGTCACTGTGTGGACACTGTCTTCTTCTGACTGTCACTGTGTGGACACTGTCTTCTTCTGTCACTGTGTGTACACTGTCTTCTACTGACCATCACTGTATGTACCCTGTCTTCTTCTGACTGTCACTGTATGTACACTGTCTTCTGACTGTCACTGTATGTACACTGTCTTCTGACTGTCACTGTATGTACACTGTCTTCTGACTGTCACTGTATGTACACTGTCTTCTGACTGTCACTGTATGTACACTGTCTTCTGACTGTCACTGTGTGGACACTGTCTTCTTCTGACTGTCACTGTGTATACACTGTCTTCTGACCATCACTGTATGTACACTGTCTTCTCCTGCACCATTCTGTTACTCTGGCCTACAACCGTCAGGGTTTTACCTTGATGTCTGGGATATCTGTTCCCTTGTCAACTGGTACCGTTCTTTTTAAATGTGTGCATACTCATACATTAAAAGAATAATAAGGAATACTGTTTGAGCGCAATTTCACCAGGAATGCTGGGTATGACTGTTACTATAGATATGGAAATGACGGACTGCTGTTGCAGGTACCTGGTGTTTTTGTTGGACTACATGGCCGACTATACCACAAGAGTGAGGGCGCTCTTGGACCTAAGCGAGGTGAGTTGGTTCTTCTGTAGCATTGTAAAAGGTTGCCCTTCTCTACAGTCATAGTTGTGTTGACTGGCTGATGAAATTAAGTTTTTGTTATGTGTCGAACATTAAAATGTGTAAGAATTGTTCTCTTCAAAGATTTCTTTATGTAAAAATGTAGCGCTGATGAGGATTACTACTAAGATGCAATCAAATGGGTGATCAAACTTGTTTTTCCAAACCGGAAATGAAGTCATTTAACTGGAAGTGTATACAGTCAAGTCACGTTAATCCGACACTCGTTAATCCGACACTCGGCTTTATCCGACACAAATGATGGGAACCGATTGATTCAGTGCTATTTAGTCCCGTTAATCCGACATTCTCGCACTCCGACTCCGACACACCTAATTTGCAACGAATTACTGAAATCACTCATTAATCAGTCTCGTTAATCCGACACAGTGGTCAGCGTACTCCGTGGTCATCTGCCCGCGAGTACACAACCCTGTGTTTTGACACACACCGGCTGCAGAGATTAACTTTAACAATTAACACTAGATGCCGGGGTCATAAAGAATTTCAAGCTTTATTATAAGAAACAAATGAAATTACACCTCGACAATGTTGATGCTGAAGGACCACCAGCCCTAGACGTCAAGCGAACAGGGGACTTTGAGAAATGTGCCTTCAAAATGTGAGAAACAGAAAACACTGACAGACTATTTTAAGTAGATGAAGCAAGTTGTTAAGACAGTAGCACTTGCATTTACACGAGGAAACACACGGTTATTATCTATCGTGAAGATGTCCGATTTTCGATCACAAATCACTTAATTTCGTTTATCCGACATATTCGTTAATCCGACATAATCATGTGCAACCAACGATGTCGGATTAACGAGACTTGACTGTATATAACTTTTTTATTCAAGTAGCTAGAGGCAAGGTACTTTACTTGTGGTTGGCATGTCTTTCTCAAAACTGAAGATAATGTGTCCGAATGGAAATACAATTCTAGGATCTTCTGGAAATAGCGACGAAGGGGCTGCTTCAGTTTTTGCAAGCACTTTTGTAGTTGGTTTAATAAGTGATCAAATTTGATTTTCAATGTTTTTAAATCGAGCAAGTTTGGATTAAATTATGCCCAACCTGCCATCCTAGTGGCTATTGCTGATAACCTAGATAACCTCCTCAAATACTTACAGTTGAACACAAGTCCAAGGATTTGGTTTCCTGTTTACCATGTTTATACAGATGATCAGGTATTTGTGTACTGTTGTATCTTTGCAGGAGGTGGAAGGTGTCCAGAAGGAGTTCGAGAAGATATGGTCAGAAGGAATGTTTCCAGGCTGGCCGGTCAGTTTCCTTAATACATAAGTGTACAAACTATATCATGTCTAGGCTGGTGAAGTAGTTTTCTTGATGTTTTAGTGTACACTTCTGTACCCTGCCTGCTGAATTTATTTTGGCATAAGGTGCTGTAAGCAGGTTGGGTACTCTCAAATATTTGAGGCTTCATTAAAGGGCAAGTAAACTCAACATTTGAACTTGGCAGATTTAAATACTTTAGGGCATACTTGATCACAAATGCTTGACCAAAATTAAATTTGAAAAATGGAAGTAGAGTAAAACAGATGATAAAAAGTGACCGGCGAAATCATCACCCAAATAAAAAAGTCTGGACTTGGGGAATTCCCTTCGCTTAAATTCCCAGTGTTTGATACATTGAGCAATTTCAATGATAAGGTCGGCACCCTGCCTGCCTGCTTCCTGCTCATTATCACATTATGGCCGTTTGATAAATGTGTCGACAACTTACTGTATCATGTCAACTTATACCTTATTAGTAACAACATTGAAGATACCTTCCATTGTCTACTCTGGGGATTCATTGTATGGATTCATTAATAAGACAGCTACAATCACTTCCACAGTGACTTATCAAGACAATGACATGCGACACGAACTCCAAAGGGATTCGACGATACTGACCTCTATTACATTCAACCAAGGACCAATCCGATCATTGGCGAACATCACAATGTTTGATGAGCCATCCTTTGTAGTCTCAACCTGATTGATGGTCCAATCGAACAACGCTTCAGTCATGTGGTACAGCAACAAGAGGGGATCGATGAAATCCGCATCACTCCTACAAATGACAATCAGTTTTACACACTAAAAGTTTTTCACTTCTAATTCAAGTTCAAGCCAGGCACATTCTGGGGATTCCGAACGTGTCAGCAATGCGCTATCACGACTGGATCAACCATTCCCGACGGAGTGGAGGCTCCATCCGGAGATCAGCCAGTGGATTTGTCAGCTTTACCAGAAGCAAGAAGTATACCTATTTGTGACCAGGTACAACACTACCATGTTTCATCTCCCCAGTACCTGACCTACAGGCTTGGGAACAGGCTGCTCTAGCCTTTTCTCGGGGAAGACCTGTATGCTTACGCATACCTTCCAGTGGTCCGCCAACAGTCCGGACTTCTATCTCGAGGGTTTGTAGAAGATTTTAGACACGAAGAGACTTCATCTACTTTTGGTCACGCCCTTCTGGCCAGCGAGGAGTTGGTTCACTGTGCTTGTAAACATCGCAGATTGAAAGCATCATCATCTACCTCTAAGGACAGCCCTACTGCTTCAGTGAAACTCAAGCCAGCTTCATCTGTGACTGGAGACTCCATCTCTGCATCTGGCGTATCTTCAGAAATCTTTGATTGCCAAAGAAATTCTAGAAGAGTGACTCAATCTGTTAAAGATGCTTCATACTTCGACAAATGCTCTCTGTGATCGAAAGTGGAAAGCATTCGATGTTACTGCAAGGCTCAAGACATTCAATCCCCAAATACAGCATCACCTCAACAGATAGCAGAATACCTTCAGCATTTGAAAATCTCAAGAAAGCCTAAAGGAGCTACACTTGCTACTTACCTAGCTGCTATCAACACAGTGATTGCTTGACCAGTGGTATGAATATTTTCGCAGAAGCATAACTTCAAGCCTTTATACGATCATACAGAATGGTGGACCTGGCTTCTCGATTAAGGCCACTTGAATATCATCTTACTTCATATGTCGCCTGAACCTTACAAAGCCTTGGCTGATAAAGACTTTGAGCATATCACACTCAAGACGGTCTTCTTGTTGGCGTTGTCTACTGCAGCTCGCGTTAGTGAAATCCACACATATGATGTTAATGGTATTGTTTTGAAAGACAGCACCATGGCAAAGTCTTCCTGGACCTGAGATGGGACTTTGTAGCAAAGAACCAAGTCCCTGGCTGGCCGGACAGGTTATCACCATCCCTCCACTTTCCTCTATATTAGTCCTAAAGGATCTGGAAGATCTCTCACTCTGCCCAGTGAGAGCCCTGAAGATCAACCTTCAAGCTTCAGAATCTCTGAGCCGCTCATGTAAGAGATAATTCATCCCCTTGTCAACAACTTCAACTATGGAGGTATCCAGTGCCACAGTGTCTTTTGGCTATGATCAGTCATCTTACAAGCATACACATTTGCTTCAACTTGCCTCCAACCCGCATGAGACAAGGGAAGAGGCATCGACCATGGCACTACATAGCAACTATATGTTAACAGCTATAATGGGAGTTGCTTTTGGCAGTCAGTCTCAGTGTTTGCCTCACACTATCTGATGGACGTCTTGGACGTCCAGGGCTTACACTGGTTTGGACCACTGATTCTAATCAGCAGGATAGAATGATTATGTAAACATTCTTTCACTGAACCTTCACCTCAAAGAAATACCAAATATACTCCACAACAAAAGTTCCTGTGGCACCAATATTTTAGTGTATTTTTCAAACAAGAAAAGTTTGGTTTTCAATATTGTAGTACATGTATGGAATCAAGTCACAAAAACGCAACTGCCACAGAAAAGCATGCATTCCATGCAAAAGTTGACTTTTATGCAAGCCTCATGCATTTCACTACCCAAGAATGGGTATAAAAACATGTGCGTTAACAGGATTCCATATGCATTGTTTAGCATCATGCTGACAACAGCCACTCAGAAAAACAACAAAATTACGCAATTATTCAACATTACAAAATGCCACGCCTGTCCGAAAATGAGCCTCTGAGAGCCATTGGTATGCTTGAAGCAGGATCGAGTCAATGTGATGTTGCAAGACAATTTAACGTCCACAGAAACACCATTTGGTGTAGGTGTAGGTGCAGGTCCAATATTACACCCCAGGATCAGCACCCTAGCTGCCTGAAGTGTTTGGCAGAAAAGGGGCATGACGATCAGTCATGCTCCATCTGTCAAGAGTTTACCCCCAGGACACTGAAGCGTCGGCATGCCGATCTGCTCCACTTTAAGGGTTTATTGAGGCGGGGGTTGACATTCGCTCTAATAAGGCCATCCCCCCCCGTCTAAAAAGGGTAAAAAGGCTAAATCAATGCCTTCTGCTACTGTCTCCTCCACCCTATCTCCGAGGACCGGTCTCGAGGGTCCCCGAGGCACCTCGAGGCACCTACACCTGCACCCTCTCCTGCACCCTCTTTGGCAGATATTTCTGCTCTACTAAAGTCGCAGATGGCGTTGATAATGGAGGAGGTTAAGTCCCAGCTCCGAGAGGAGCTGCGGGCTGGGCCTTCCCCATTGTCGGCGCCGGACGCGACTGGAGGCCCTGTGGAATGCCTGACGCCGGCCGAGGCAGGCCTTTTGGCCTCGGGGACGATCCGAGACAGGGCTTCGGCTCCTTCTCCGATGCCGAGGCTTCCACTAGTGGATCTGTGGCCCAGAGCCAGGTGGGTTCCCTTGAACACCCAGCACCTCGAGACCGGGACTCAGCGTCGGGCCGGGGGCAGCCCGGGGATGCGAAGGCCCAGGCCTTCGGGCGTCCTCTTCCTGTCTCGTCTGCTACCTTTCTCGAGGATGAGTCGATTACGGTCGGCTCGGAATTGAGAGAGGAGGAGAGGAGGGAGGGGATGACTCGGAGGCTTCGGGGACATTCTCCTTTGTATCCTCGTTGAGGCACGTAAGGGACAAGATCATCCAGGTACTGCCTAAGGTGGCTGCGCCCATGCCCACGTCAGATCCGACTGAGTTCCGCCTTCCGGGGGACGCCTTTGCTCCTAGCAAGGCGCCCCAGGTGCGGCGCCGCATTTTGTCCTCCTTGGCGCACGAGGTCATCTATCCTCTGCTTTCGGGTGCCAGCAGGAAGTTCGACCTGCCCGAACTTATTAAGCGGTACCTGTCAGCAGAGGATGGTGATTTCGAGGTTCCAGTGGTCGACGAATGTGTCTGGACTTCTGTAGCCCTGGGGGGGGGTCTTTAAACCCCCCCCTTGGCTAAGGCCAAACAGGGCCGGCGTTTGCCCCCCTTTCCTATGTGCAGTGCGAAGCTGAAGGCTGCTTACGTTTGCTTCGAGGAGCAATACCGTAATGCATGACAACAGCTTCGCGTCTCTGTACACTCCGCCTATCTGTCTGCAGTAGAGAGGGAGCTGGTGGGGGAGGGGCCGGCTGACTCCTCGGATGTCGGTGTCTAAGGACTCGGCATCCACACGCCTGGACCTCCTAGCTTTGCCTTATAAGATGGGTGCCACCCTCTTCCCTGGGGCTCAGCAGGTGGTCCGAGAGGCCGCTCAGTTGTACGCTTCAATCAAGGACTCTAAGGCCTTGTTGGAGGTACCTAGCGCTAAGCCGCTTAAGCGGGCGTCTCCCCTTGACTCTTCCCACGCTGACACGTCGGGTCAGAAGTCTGCACCTGCTGGGAAGCAGCCGCTTCCTTCAGGTAAAGGCGCAGGGAGAGGCAAGGGCCGGGGCAAGGGCCGGGGCAAGGCGGCTGGTCGGAAAAGCAGGAAAAGGGACAGGAAAACGAGGGCTTCTACTTGACGTATTTCCTAGCCACCAAAAAAGACGGAGGGTTCAGACCTATTCTCAATCTGAGAAGGCTGAACAAACTCTTAGAGGTACCGTCCTTCAGGATGGAGACACTGCGCTCACTGATCTCAGCTGTCGAGACAGGAGACTGGCTAACGTCAATAGACCTTAAAGACGCCTATCTCCACGTACCCATACTGCCCGAGTTCAAGAAATACCTGAGGTTTTCTTTTGACGGGAGGTGTTATCAGTTCCGGGTTCTACCATTCGGGATCTCCACGGCCCCGAGGGTGTTCACCAAGCTGATGTTGATTCCTGCCCAAGTGCCCACACATGGTTCTGCCATCCGTACCTCGACGACTGGTTACCAAGAGCTCTATCGCAATCCCTGAGTCAGATAGCTACACAAGAAGTGATAGACATTCTGATCACTCTAGGGTGGATAGTCAATCTGAAGAAGTCAGATCTGAGCCCTACTCAGAATCTTGTCTTCCTAGGGGC